TCTGCTATATATATATATATATATATATGTCGAAGCGGCCAAGTCCGAAAGGAGAAACACTGCACGTAGACCATAGTTTAGTGGGACAGCATCACCACCGTGTATTTGAACCAGGGTTCTCACCCCTGACGACCTGACAGCATGACCGCCTTGTCAACAATTGTTAAACGATTACAATTATTTCAAGCAATTAGAATAAACAATTAGTCACGAAATGATGTATAAATAGGCAGCTGGGCACACTCAGTAATCTTACCACACCTGATCCTGAGTCTATATAAATGGCACCGGTTCTGGTTGGTGCGCCCATACCACATGGACTCATAAGGTACCGTTCATGGCTGCTCATAATGTACACGACTATGTGACCCTAGTTTGTCCAGAGAGATTTAAATATTCAAGGCTAGAGAAACTTTAAGTTTAAGATATGTTAGATGTTAAGATTATATATTAATTACACCTGCTCGCTGGACAATTCTAATCATTTTATAAAACCTCATACATTTTTTTGGAAAATACCTATTTCAAAAAGAGGCACCAGTTGTAAATTTTCACATTGAATTCTGAACTTGTGCCGAGAACTTGTTTTAATTTGATTGCGGAATCACAATCTTTAGCAAGTAGCAGTGCAAAACCACCACCTCCAGCGCCAACCAGTTTGTACCCACAGCAATAGCGATCTGCAAATTTGAAAAGTCTATCTACATATTCATTGCTGCAGTATGGATCAAGTTCCTGATGCAGCCTCCAAGCTTCCAGCATTATATTTCCAAGATCATCAACGTCTCCATTCATCAAAGCCTCTCTTCCGATCTTTGCCAAAGCAGCTAATCGTTTAATGCTAGATATCAATAAATTATCTCGGCGAAGATAACGGGTTACCACCATCTGGAGTACTTGATGTGCAAGCCGAACCTAATGAAAATTGCATGATGGAAAAAAAATAAGTGGAACCAAATTTTATTCATAATAGGAAATCCAAGATACTTTTTCATGTTCAAATAAATATTAAAAAAGGTGCTTTCAAAATTTTTTTTTTTTAAAAAAGACAAGTAATGATCAGCATTAGAATGGAAAGAAAAACTTACTTGGCCTGTAAATACAATGACTAAACGTTGATCAAGCTTGCGAATCAGCTCTGATGAAGCTAAAACAGGCTCAACTTGCAATCTTAGTGGTTGACCTGGAAAACTCATTGTGCACTTAATACCAGGGTACAGACCTCCAATTTGATCTTGCCATCCTCCTCCAGTACCCATTACTTGTTCCACAGCCAAAACAACTCTTGCAACATTTTCATTTCCATCATCTTGTCGCATCAATCTAAGAAGACCCCTCACAACAGCAGCTGCCAAAATGCTTGAAGTACCTAGACCACTACCGCGGGGAACATTTGCAAATGTCTTGATGTATAAACCTGTTCTTAGTAGGAGTTTGTCACGAGAAATACCAGTCACGAGCAGTGTTGATTTAACAAGTCGAAAAGGGTCATCTTCCTCAAATGGTCCCTTGATTGACATGGGATCTTCAATGTATAATTCATTATTTGAATCGTCACAAATCAAAATGCCACGAGTATTCTTTGTCTCTATCACAGAAGAAATAGGAGGAATTCCTTCTAAATTTATTGCCATGTTTAGAACACAACCTGGACGCTCTAAACTCCAAGGTGGAGTGTCACTCCATCCACCAACAAAATCAATTCTAACAGGTAAGTCTATTCTTATTTTTTGTGATTGAAATCCAACATTTATGGCTTCATTACCGATGCTCTCTAGATACTCTGAAGTTATCCTGGTAGAACTAACTGAATGTTCTGTGAAACACATTTAAAATAAAATAATTGTCCACTGACAAAATTATGAGTAAACAGCAAAAAAAAAAACTTTATTACCTCTAAGCTTATATTTGACAGCCTCATCAGTTTCAGTTGCAACTGCAGCCCATACTTTCTGTTCAATTGAACATGCAGCTTCTTCATCTCCACAAGCCCTGAGAAGATCAACATGCACTTGATATATCCTACTTTGTGCAACAACCAAAGGATTTTGAACGTGAAAATTAGAACAATATGAAAGGAATTCTTTACAAACTTTTATCCCTTCCTTATTTGTCATTTGAAGAATTTCTTTACTCAGTTGATCTAAATTCCTTCCAAGTGAGCCATAATTTATGCAAGCTCTAGTTATACCAATAACAAGATCGGCTTGGTGATCGCTGGAGTCAATGCAAAGCTGTGAGAAGCATATTGAGCGATGCAGCTCCTCCAAACTGACTCGTTGTGAACTTCTCCAAGTAGAGTGGGCAAAGTCATTTCCTGGTTTAATTGAGCCCATGAGCCACATGGATAAAATTAACATCTCATGAGAAGGGCAAACTGGAAATATCTTTGCATTCCACATGCATTTATCTTGTTTGATAGAAATGTCCCATAAATCTTTCTCTTCTATACCTAAATTATGCATTATCAACTTCCATGGTTTCCCACAAAACGTGCCATTCTTTGCAAATGAAATCTTAGGATTGTCATGTAGACCACAAAAAATAAGAATTTTTCTTGTGCATCCTACTAACGGGACTTCCCAAAGACAGTGACGATCTGGTAATACATATCTAACTGAATTTTCACTACTTTGTGAAATATTTACTCCAACAACAATGGATTGAGATCCAATCTGTACTCTACCAGAAAGTGATGAATCATAAACCAAAGAATCCTCCCCAACTGAAACTCCAGATAATATTTTGCTAGAAAGAATTACAGCAGATGCTGCCAGGTCACATCCAATGGTCTCTGGAAGAGAACACATGTGTCTTCGACCAACAAGGCTCGAATCAGTATCACCTAAATGATCAAGAACTTCCACCGATGTTCCAAAATGTAAAAATAACAAGTTATCTGCAAGCAAACAAATTGGAAAACAAGAATATCATTAACATCACATCTCTAGAGAATTACCAGATACTTAACATATGGAAAAGTCGTCATCTATAACAGTCATCTGAGGAAGTATCACTTTTTAATAGCAACTAAAAGATAATGATCTGAAGGAATGTAAGGAGACAATGAGTATCGAATGGAATCAATTTGGAATAATACCAGCACAAAAGCTAAACATATTCTCACTGCCCAAACCTCCTACTAACTCCTTTCCAAATGGACGTTGTTTCAACCATTCATGTTTTGCTGGCACCCAAGCAGCAACGAGATCCTCATACAAACTCATCTGTATCAATGCTCAAACATTAGCAAATACCCTAGAATAAGATTAGGAAAAAAATTGAATTGCTCAGAATTGGAAAAATGGTTGTTTTCGTTCTTTCATTATTATAAAAGGAATTAGAGAAATTATACATAGAGAAGCAGTTAGAAGTACGTCAACAAATATAATATATGTAGATGATAATTATTAAATATATTTGATAAGTGAAATGCAGGCTGGTTAGTAGCTTGCCTCTTTTCTTGTCTCTAAAAGTTCTGATATCATTATTTTGCTCGTGACAGTAAGTTTTAGAAGCTGAATCCAAGCTTTTCCTCTCACTGCTATCATTCCCGTATCAAGCAATGCTCTGCCATCGAGACCAATGGCATTATTTTCTATGAGTTGCTTCAAATTAGGCTTCTGTAAAAGATTCTGAACTTTATTAAATGAACAAGATTCATCGGGATTCCCAATTCTAGATGCTACAATGACACCATGATTGGAGGCAATATCTAAAGTTATGGGTACTGTAATAATGCAAGCAGCGTCGTCAGGAAGTGTCAAAGTAGAAGCATCGAAACATGGAAGAACATCTCCGGTCATGATGAAGATTCCGCCTGGATTCATGTAAATTAAAATTTTGATAGGTTCGATAAAGGGGAAAAAATGATATGAGTCTCTGAATTGGAATTAACAAGGTTCCAACTTCCAAATAAGAAAACCGAAACATGGCATAGTTATAGTTGAAATCATTTTATGCCCTTTAACCGCTACAAATTCTGGGGCTTATACTAAACAAATTAACCTTTTGGTTTTCATTCACAAGAAGACCAATTTTGATTTAACCAACCAACCTTCATTGTGGAAAGCTTGTCTAGCACAAGAGGAAATTGCAAGAATATGATCAAACAGAAGCGGAACCGGCCCATCAGGATTATCGGATGCTAAATATGGAAGCGGCAGAAAAACTTTTCCCATGGGATTCGCCCATGGGACCCTTTTAGAATCACCTCCAGCGTGAAGCAATAGTATATGTTTTTTTCCAAGTATGTTTACAAAAGATAAGGGACAGAAATCGTTGGAGTTTGAAAATGCAGAATCCTTTTCCTGAACACTTGGGGTCTGCACCTGTAAATGTCTAGTTTAGACCAAGTGACACTAGAACCGACTTGCAGGAAAAATAAATGATAATTCAAAATATGATAAAAATCCAAGACTTTTTCTTCGGAGTGGACTCCAATCCGGAGAAGATGCTTGGAAAGAGAGGCCAGAGCGTGAATCGTTGCAGCGCCTGAACCGATTCGGGCACCGTTAGGATCAGGAACAGCGAGTGTGACAGTGTCGGCAGCTATCCGACCAATTCGCTTGGCACGAGCGAGCTGCCACTCGAAGAGCTGTGCCTGCTCGGGACTGGCTGCAGTGAGAACAATTGCATCCCACGTCGGGACTCGAGAAGGGTTTCGAACAGATAGTCTTAGACGAAACCATGATTTTCGTAGCACAGATGACAGAGACCTCTTCTTCTCAGTCGTCCGCACAGCCTGGTTCTTCTTCATTTTATAGATTAGAAGGACAAATGAAGACAGTCGTTGGTCAAATCAAATGACAAAGAAATAGAATGGCGGCGAGACGGATTTGATCAAACATCCCATAAATATTAACTTGCTAATTATTGGAGAAGAGGCCCGATCCGAGAAATATATAAACAAAGGGATCGATATACAATAGCTACGAATGTTAGTTAGTAAGAATTAGTTAATATTAACTTGCTAATAATTAAAAATTAACTAAACAAAATAGCGTCGCCCGAGTTCGAACCGGAGACCTCCGGTGTTGATTGACGTGATAATCAACTACACCACGACACCACAATAAACAAAATTTATAAAATTTAAAATTATTTTTTCATACATTGTATTCAAACAAAAATATCTATACAAAAAGTTCATGTGATTTTTTCATTAATTCTCATGGATTTCAAATCTGGAATTCGCACGAGTTTTTCATTGAAAGCTTTTGAAAAGAAATGCGAAGATTAAATGAATATGTGCTACCACCATTGCGTTGCCCGATTTTTTTGGCACCTGCTATCTGATAATAGTTAGACCAAAAGAAGATTTTGAAATTTAGAGATTTGGGAGTAATAAAAAGAACAAACATACGTAACTAATGAAGCTAACCTTCTGCACTTCTACTCAAAGTAGTCCTCCTCACTCTTATGTACATCTACTCATCTAGCCACCTAGAAGAGAGCAGATTTTTTTTTTGGCGTTAAGTTGTTTTAACTTTTAAAAGCATTAAAAATACTTTTTTACAAATAAAGAGAGAAGGAAAAAGATAATTAAATGCTCACTGATGAATGATGATGAAACATGCATGAAATTATGTTCTTAAATTAGCGTTAAAGACTATTTGTGGAGATTTAACAAACAACAAAACTTACCAGAACTTTGGAATTCAATGAGAACACATTTGCATTTCCAATTTCTGAACAGCCTCAGCCATGCCTTGACAATTGTACGCACGAATCATCGTGGCAATTGTAACAGTATCAGGTTTGCACTTCCTTTCCCTCATCATCAAGAACATCTCTTCCATGGTTTCTACAAGACCGACCTGACCATACACACTTATTATACAGTTGAAAAAAACGGTGTCCAGAACCACATTAGAATTATTTATTTGCCGCATCATTAATGAAACCTTGTCAAGCAGTCCAGCTTTACCATATGCTTTGATGAGTGAACAATATGTAATAGAATTAGGTTTAATTCCCTGGTTTTTCATATTCTGGAAAATATATTCCATTTTCTCAACATTCTTTGCTGTGCCAAAATATTCAATCAATAAATTGTAAGTCACAGTGGTAGGAGAGAAACACCTTTTCTTCATGAAATCCAAAACAAAAGTAATCTTCTCATCCATGCATGTATTACCATAGGATTTTATCAAAATATTGAATGTCGTTACATCAGGTTCGATACCCATATGCTGAAACTCATCATACCATTTCTCTAATTTATCGATTTGTCCAAAGTTTCCATGAGCCCAAATAATCGAGTTTAGTGTAAAGAGATCTGGCAAGCAATTCCCAGACTCAAGCATATCTGAAACAGTATTATCCATTTCTTCTAGCATACCGGCTTTACCATACCCATCCACTATGGTATTATAAGTTACATTGGTGCATTCAATACCAAAATAAGACATTTCACTGAGTACCTTGGAGATGAGATCAAAGCGACGCAGTTTGCAACAGCAGTTGATGAGGACTGTATATGTGTATACATCTGGTTTACAATCAGAAATCGATTTCATTTCATCAATAGTACGGAATGCTTCATCCAAACGACCACTGTATCCATATGCACCTACAAGTGATGTGTAAACATCAACAGTTGGCTTGAGAGTCTCAGAGAGCATGATCTGAAAGAGAAAACGTGCATGATCTGCTTGTTTACATCTTCCAAGCATAGTCAGTAGTCTTGCATAAGTTTGTGATTTCGGATTGTACCAATTTTGTTTGCGAAGAAGACCGAAAATCTAAACAGAAAGAAAAACATTAATTTATTGCATTATTGTATTAAAGTTGGCAGTGAATCGGAAACAGAAGGTTTTGAACTTCTATGTGTAACAATTGAACTGAATCCTATTGCACAGGGAGATTCCTATTATACATGGAGGTTAACTCAACTGGTCACGGTAATTATTAAGATCACTGATGAACCATGGTTTTAGTTTCGTTGTGTACGTAATTTTTATTTAATTTCCACCTAATATTATGTGGCTCCGGTATATCAACCGGAGGTGGATCTTTCTAATTGTAGAAAGGTACCCCTCCGTTATAGAAAAAACTGAATCCTATAAAAGTTAAAGAGAGACTACAAGAACATTTCAACTTGGCCACAACCACCAACGGAGAAAGAGACATCAATCATTCAATCGATGTGCTGGAAGATATGATTGTTAGACCCTCCAGGCCCACTCGAGTGCCCAAAGGTGCAAATCCACTGTTGGGGGGGAAATCCCAACTGTAGGAGGATTCACTAGAGGAAGGGAGAGCAGAGAAGTTAAGAAAATAGTTTCATTTTTAATAATATAAAAACACAACGGTTATTGGTTTTATAGAACCCTTTTACAACCGCACACCAAGTTGATTGAAATACTTGCAACTGCAAGCAATTAAACATAGCTAAACGCATAAGAAAATTGGGAGTGTTTAGATGACTAACGACGCTGTAGATAACATTATAATTTTGACATGATCAAAATTATAATTCCTTGTCTTGACTTCCCCTCGTAATCGAACATAATCGACCATAACCGATGGGGTTCGCTTGAGTCTTTTGAATGGAGCGGAAACGATCGTATCATCCACTCAGCTGCCTGAATTTTATAACGACCAGACATGATTACGTGATCGCTTTAAAGGATTTTTGATAGAGCCTGAATTCTGTAATACGTTGTTAGAATTTTTCCTTTAAACAAAAATCCATCAAATTACAGAAATCGCTATCAACTTCTTCTCCCCTCCGGAGGCCCCTCCGTGGGAATTGCCAATCTCGTCCGCTACATTCCCACACCCTCATCTAGAAGGATCGTCAGAATAAGAACTTTGTTGAGGCTTAATATATTTTAATATATTTCGCATTTCTCTAAAATATTAACCATGATGTTATTATTTCTTACTCCGGTAAACGGAGTTATGCCTAATGAAAAGTAAAATTTGAAAGAAAAAAATGCACGCAACAAAGAAGAAGACACAGAACTACAGAAATCGGAAACAACCTTTAGAGCCGACTCCCAGCGATCGCCAGCAACAGCATTTTCCAAAGCTTCCAAAACCGCTCTGGGCCAGAGGGTTCTGGACGTAGTCGTGGCCGCCTTCCTCTCCACCCCTAGAATCGCCGCCTCTGTTCTCAAGATGTGAGACAACTTCCGTTTCACCTCATGTTTAGGAGTCTCCGATTTGGTCCGCTTGGTGGATCTTACGATGAAAAGATGCCTCGATTTCCGGATCTTCACACCGAAACATAGATCGAAATACGATGAAGTAGTTGTGAAGGTGGGATGGATGAGGTTCATTGTCGACAGAAACAATTGTTAAAGCTTAGAGAGTTCTGAAGTTGGTAACTCCAAAAGTCTGTGAGACTGATGGATGACGACGATGATGATACATCGATACCAATAGCAATAGGGTTATAGGTTTATAGGAGGAAGTAATTAAAATTATAAAGTTAAATAGGGTATGGAGTGCAAAGGTAAAATAATAGTGAAGTTTCGACGAAACTCGAAAGCCGGTAGCCGAATAAAAAGATTACGTCATTTATCATTTATGCGAATTTGACAAAAACGAAGTCCCTATTGGAAATCAGAAGGCAATTTCGTAGAAATTGTAACAGTGTAACCTGTGAAGAAAGGAATTTGAATAAGAATATCCAAACCCAAAGGATGAATGGACGGATGGATGGATGGATAGATGGTCCTCGCATCGTTACTAAATCTTCCACTTGACGTTAAGAGCAACAGCAAAGCAATACTTATACAGTAGCGTACCTGGTTTGGATTATAACCAGTTTTGTGCTTCGAGCGAGATGGGCGACGAGCATGGCAAAGAAGTGACGGATACGGAAGAGTACGAGGATCTGATGCCTGTGATGGTGGAAAAACTAGACGTTAATGGATTTGTGACAGAGCTCTGCAGGGGATTCAACCTCTTGGCAGATCCAGAAAGAGGGATTATCACGGCGGAGAGCTTGAAAAAGAACTCAAACATGCTTGGGATGGGAGGGATGACGTTAAACGAGGCTGAGGAAATGGTGAGGGAAGGGGATTTGGATGGTGATGGAGCGCTTAACGAATCGGAATTTTGCGTCCTCATGGTCAGACTTAGCCCCGGGATGATGGAGGATGCTGAGTTTTGGCTACAAAAGGCAATTGAACAGGAACTGCAAATCCCATCATCGCCGCCATGCTAAATTTATCCAATAAATTCTACTCTGTTTCCAATCTTTATTGTTACACATTAGTGTTGTATTTCTATTGCTATAACAAGTTTATAAATGACACGACTGTACTTCGTTAATCTTCATTTAGTTAATCAGTTTTAAAATATTAAAAATTCCTGTCAGTTAAATCTTTCAACAAAAATTACTGGACAATGAAAGACAAACAAGTAAGAAATTTAAAAACAATCGAAACCAATTACAATGATGATATAGATTGCAGTATCAATAACCACAAGGATTCATAACCTGCGATACTTTTTAGAGTTTAGGTCTTAATTTTTGCATAACAGAAGTCAAATACATCCCAATTTCTGAATCTCTTATAAAACATTCAAGCATACCAAACGACTTCATGCTGCTTCAGCTTCTCGATCTATGAACGGGTGATCTTTGAATAGGTGACCGGCTGTAGAAAGAAATCAAAATTTTCATGATAATTACTAAAGCTGTAATGTCACCCTAATAGTCTCCAATTTCTGAATATATGTACTTTTCTATTTTACCTTCGGTATCTTCCATTATCAGGACTGTGATTCCTGTCATTTCCTGCTCCATTGTATCTATCATATACTGGACTGTGAGCACGCCCATAATCAGGACTTCCTCGATTACGTCGACCAACAGGGCTTGGAGAACGACCATAAGGACTGTCTCGACGTCCATAGCCTCTCCTATCAGGACTATCTCGCTTACCTCGTTCTCCATCATCTCTGAGTGCATATTCAACAGAAACAACCCTGTCTAGTATCTTGCTGCAAAATTAAAATTTACACTTAAGTATTATAAATGAATAATGAAGATGAAATCTGAGGTTTGCTGCAAATGACATAATTTCTGAAGGTGCATAACCATGTATTGAT